CTCCATAAGGCATTTTTCAATCCAACTAATTCCCCCTCCACACACACTTTTATTCTATAACTGTCCCCCATCCACTAACCGCCGATGTGCAACGTTGCCAAATGCTTTTTGAAGATCATTATGTAACAATCAAGTCCCTTCCCTTTGTCAGCCCAGAGAAGTAACATTTGACAAGAATCCAAGTTACTGAAGCATGACTTCCCATCTAGTTTATTCACTACTTCAGGATTATGCCACTTTGAAGGGGGCACTTGCCTACTGTAGTCTTTCTTCTGAAGGTTTTAACAAGTCCCAGTTTTAAGCATAATGAGGAGTCCAGTGCCAGTCTCCTTTTACATACCGTAATCTTGCTGAAGTGTGACTTAATTTGCAAAGGTAACCCTGCCTGCTGCAGAATATAAACTATTACCCACCCTGTTGAGATTATCTCATATTCAAAGAGTAGGTTGAGGTTTTTTTGTTTTGTTTTGTTTTTAAGATTAGGCTCCCCACAACTACCTCCCTTCTCTGTTTAACACTTGGCAAGCTCTCATCTGTTTCTTTCTCAAATCAGCTGCTTATCACTGTACTTCCTTTGTTAACATTTACTTCTAGGATTGTATGTACTCAAGTGTAATAAAAATGCTACTATGAAGTCTTAATGAAGTGAGACCGCAAACCTGAAATGGCTCTGAAGTTCCTGATAGTTCACTTGTGCACACTGTCCCAAACTATTGACACAGGTTTATGTACTCTTTGAGTAGCCTAAGTACTGCTCCTATCATTTCATTAACCGTTCTGCAATTAAAGGAACACTTAAAAAACCCTACTTAACTGCACACAGGATGGCAGACATAAGATTTTATCAGCTATGGGTGTTTGCATCCAAGAGCCCTGATAATGTCTCTTCACTTTTATTTAAAGCAACAATGAGTAAAGTTTGACTGTTTAAATGGGTATTATTAATTTGAAATCTAGGAGTTTTAACAATTCAGTAGAGATTTTGGGAACCGTTATGTTTATCCCAAATTCCCCTTGCCAATGTTTGTGGTATGCTTGTGGCCTCTTTTCTGTCCCTTACGTTTTATCATAGTTCATTTGTCATATTAGTTGCAGGTTAAAGCACCATGAATGGTATGATGACAAGTGCCTTAGAAACAGACAGGAAGCAGCTCAGAAATAAAGTTCCTTTAAAACGTGATTGTCAGCTACAGCTTGTATATACTGCAGAGTTCTTCCCCAAACTCTGTTAAACAGGGAAATGACAAAATGGGAGTAAGGATTAGTGCAGGGGAAGAAGGCAAGTGTCAGAATTTAAGGAGTTAGTCACCAATTTGTTGAGTAACTTTGACCAAGACCATCTCCCTGGGCCTCAGTTTCTCCATATGTAGAATGGGGACAATAATACCTCTTTATCTCGAGGGATGTTGAGTGATTACTTTATTAAACTGCAGAGTGCTTTGAGATCCTGGAATGAAAAGCATTAAGGGCCTCAAGGTATTGTTATAATTAATGATTCACTTAACATAAGATGGCACCACACATAATAATGGTGTCTAAACAAATCTATGTATAAAGTCTTTATGTTGGCTATTTTGGTTCATCCAGTGACAACCAGTGGAATTCTTAGCTCTTGTGAAAAGATGAGAATTGAGAATTAAACTGGTAATTTTAATTTGAAACAATCAAGGTTTGCAAGTGGCTACATGGCAAAGTGGGTTAAATCACTTTCACTTGCAGAGAATGTATGTCCATAAGTGAATGGAGTTTAATGATCTCAGTCTACAAGTGTGTCTGCATTTAAAACACTCAGAATTTTGAACAGCTGGAAGTCTTGCCTCAATATAGACACAACATCAGTGTGACAAAAGTCAGCTGCAGTGAATTAGCAAAACTGTATGAAAAAAGTACTGATAAGTACTGTCTGCTTGTATGATGCAAACATCCAGTTAACATTTCCCCACTTTTACAATGCCTAAGATTTTTGTGAACATTTTGCAATTGTTAGAAGGGTAGAGATTGAGACAATTTCCAAGTACCCTGTACTTGAGAGTTCTCTAAGTCTGGGATTTTATTTTCACATCGACTGTTTATAAAGTTAGCATGTTATTTTTTCATTCTTTGATTTGTAATCATTCAACAAGAAACGTGACATTTTAAAACTACATTTCTTCAAAGTTCAGGTCAGAATTTTATTTTGCTATTCCTGACATTTAAATTTAAAGCACGTGATGGGATAACAGAACAGTGATAAAAACAGCACATTAACCGTTTAAGAACATTTTCATCTATAACTATCCTTCTGCAGAAATACATAAATTGAAAGCTCATTATATAAATTATGTTTTTAAACATTTACAGCACTCACATTCCAGAACAGAAAAGGTTAATTCCACACTGAGATACTAGTGCAAAAAGTGGTTTATCTAAGTGCAAATAAGTTAGTAAGAAGTTAAGTCTTCTCACGGTGAGCCAGCAGACTTGTCATTTTTATGCAGCTCTATAAATCCATAACTGGGGACTTGTATTCACTATGTCAAAGCAAATGGTACTTTGTGGAAATAGTGAACTTCAGAGAGTACAAACCAAATCCTTTCTGAATGTACAATAATACGAGGTTAGGGTATATTCTCCACTACATGCAGATCTGCAAATTCACTTGGGTTGAAGATAGAGCACCTTACATTTTGCTGAGCTGGCTCAAGAGATAAAGTAGTAAATGTAAAATATTTTATGTTAATCTCTGATTATTAAAATACAATATGGAAAATATATAGTATTAAAACTCACAAACATGCAGGTATTATATTCCAATGGATGCCATATGTCATCTTTGGCACATCACGGACAATACCTGAACACTAAGTATAGCACTAGACGATATACTTTGGGGAACTATCCTGCACTGGAAGAGAATGAACTAGATGATTTAACAGACTTTTGCCATCTCTAACTTCTATGATTCTATTATTTGTTTGTGCTAAAAAATACATTTAGCAGGCCAGGATAGAGATACAATTACACCTCAAATCTTGAGGTTATACAGTGTATCCTAAAATAAAAGCGTAAGTACTATCCAGGCAAAATAAATGTTAAACAACTCACAAATGGAAACATGAAGTGACTGCAATGCTCAGGTCACAATCTCAGCAGCAATTATTGAAATACATGACGTCCGTGTCCACCTACCCTAAGAAAATGTTGCGGTATAAAAATAGGTTGGAGACACTTCATAAATACACCTTTACTAAAGATGAGCTTTGTTTTTTCAGCACATATTCTTTAAGTTACTCTCATGTTTAAACTGAAGGCTGTGTATCTGGATACTCAGGAGAGTGAAAAACTTTCACACAAGCTGGTCCTAGAGAAAGAAATCCATTCTCACCAAAAATACGAATGATCACAGATGAACCACTTTAGAAACTAGTCACCTCCAGCAATTAATGCCAAAAACTCATTTCAGCAACCTAACTTTCTGTCGATAATTTCTTCACGCATAGACACCCATTCACATACACAACAAAAACTAAATGAACCCTATAACTTAATCAAGGTATTTCTCCAAAAGGCTGGAAAGCAAGTGAGGAAAAAAAAAACCTATTTCTTTAAATATTTGAGAAATGCTCAGATACTACCATAATGGAGGCCCGTGTAAGTGGCTAAATGTATAGATACAATTCCTTTCATGTCCTTGTTATGACCCCATTTTAAACCAGCATTTTAATGTATCAAGCATGAAATCTGCATATTTTCAAAACACTAAAAATTACTCTCAATACACACTTTTAAAGATGATCACCTACATTTTTATTCTTACCACTACTCTCATGTTCCTTGCTTTCACTGATTACTTGGAATAAAAGCTGAAAAGCACAACACATCTGTTTCAATGCCCACCCTAATGAATCAGCCAGCAGAAGTGAACAGAAAGCATGGCCTGGACTGAGGAGAGAGAAACCAGGACATCTGTTCACAGTTTCATTTCTATAAGCATAGGCAACAAAAATTCCAAGTCTCCCATATCAGCATTGTGCCAACTACCTGAAAGAATTATTTTTAATATTTACAATATCCACTGATTTAATTATTCTCAGCATTATAAGGATCATCTGAAATATCTGAAGGAAAGCAGGTCTTCAAAACAGATCCATGGTAGGCAGCAAGGGCACCTGCATCTTCCCCTAACTCTGATAAGAGGCCATTTCTTAACTAAAAGGTTTGGTTTGTGCAACCCAGACAGCATTCCATAGTAGACAGATAATTGGAGGGGGGAGGGAATATCTCTTAGGTTGCATTATATCTGACACATGTAAGCTGTTGCCTTCACTTGCAGCTTAGACATCATCACCCACAAACAACTTTGACTTAGAAAAAGACTTAATATTAAGATAAGATTTGCAGAATAGCAAATGAGTTATAAACATTAACTTTGAGGTTTTGTATTATTCCTCTTAGTCAGGTGCACAGTTCGGGACTGTGGAGATGTGTTAAGCATTATATCTGACACATGTAAGCTGTTGCCTTCACTTGCAGCTTAGACATCATCACCCACAAACAACTTTGACTTAGAAAAAGACTTAATATTAAGATAAGATTTGCAGAATAGCAAATGAGTTATAAACATTAACTTTGAGGTTTTGTATTATTCCTCTTAGTCAGGTGCACAGTTCGGGACTGTGGAGATGTGTTAAG